TGCTCGCTGTGTGCTCTCTGTGTGCCGTACACGTAACATGGAGGGAGGGACCGGCGCCGCCGCCGCCTTCCCCGGCAGCCGCTCAGCCGCGCTCCCCGCGGGCACCGCCGGAGCCGGAGCCGGGAGCGGCCTCCATGGATCGCACAGGTCAGTGCCAGCCGTACCCTCCGGACGCTCCTCCGGGACGAGCCTCCCTTCCCCTCCTTTCTTTTCACCCTCATCAATGGCGTGCTGAGACCGGATCTCCGAGGGATGTAATTGTTTCACACTTGGTCAGAGCCGGCGATGCCTAATAAAAATGTAGAGCGGGATTAAGGAAGGCGAGCGTGGCATTTCCACCCAGCAAATGCAAGTTCATTTTCATATTTGCTGTATTTTTAAACCTATGTAAATAACTGCATGTCTTAAGTGGTTGGTTGTGCATTTGAATGGAGAAAGGTTAATTGCCTGCTTCAGCCACATTATGCTGTACAGCTCCCACCAGCATGGAGAAAGCAGACAAAGTCTAATTTTGCATCTAGTCCTTTTTGTGACAGTAGTCCTTGAGGGATTTTTGGGTAAAGGGTATAGAATGCGGTTATGAGCATGACAGAAAATGCATTTTTTTTCTGTTAGAAAATGTACTGTATCCTGTGCATAGCAGAGAGGAGCACACAGTGTGTACTCTGTGTGAAAGCAGCAATAGTCACAAGGGCTCTGTGCTGATCGTATTTTTTTCCTTTCTAATGGATTTCTAAGAGCTGTTGATGGGATACCGGTTTAGGTGTGATAGTTCTGGAGGGCCAGATTATCATATGTGTGTTGTTAAAATTCTTGTGGAATGAGGCAGTACTGATTATCTTCAGGGCAAATAATCTCCTTCACCCTGGGCTCCAGTTTGTGCTGTGCCTGATAGGAAATAATGCCTAGTGCTGCTGCAGTTCAATGGGGATTTTCTATTTCAGGGCTGAGAGTGAATAAATATTTACTGGTGAGGAGAAAAGGAGCGAGCTGTGGACCCAATATCATTTAGAATTTGCTGTTACCACCTACCTAGGTTACAGATCAAGGCGGTTTTACCACAGCAGAAGTTATTTATGAACCAAGGTGCCAGAAGCTGGAGACGCAGGTTCTTATTTCACTGTTTAACACCTTACCAACAAAGTCTTGGTAATTTATGCTGACTCCTCCTACTTCACTTACACTGCCAGAAACCGAAGGAGAGTAGCTCACATCAGCACTGCAAAATTTCTTTGAATTTGTCTGTGTTTTTTTCCTTCCTTGCAGTATTTCTCCTTAGGAAAGCTGCAGCTGGATATCTGCTCATTGTTTGACTTGAGCACTGTGAGAAAGGTAGTTGGAAAATTTTGGTTCCACTTACTTGGTAACAAAACTGTATTTAAAAATTAACTGTGTCTAGTGTGCTAATGCTGAAGGTTTTACACTCCCCAGCTTCCTTTGTCATGGAAAAAGCACAAAATGAAATATATTGGCAATACATTGTTACCCAAGGATAGAGCCACATGCTTGCCAGAGGGGATTTTGTAAATTGGAACTACAGGATTTGTTTGGTGTGAATTCCTTGGAACGAAAGCTCTGGTATTTGTGAAAAGCTGGCAATGTCAGTATGTGCAGTATGAGGTTTCTGGCTGAAGACAGACGAAGTTTAGCAGTTTTAGAAGTTTGATAAAATCTATGCAGTTTTCCTCCGAATGGATCTTCTCATCCATGAAGTCTGCAGATTAAATAAGTTTTAGTTCTGGCAGTGACATCCCCTTTTTTTGTCACTTGTGCAGTGTCCAGAGTAAGAGAGAACTCAGGATGAGCTTACTATGGTTGGCTCTCTGAAGGCAGATCTCTTGCTCATGTCCTGCCTTTCAGCACAGAGAGAAAATTGGAATTGTTCTTTAGGAGTAAAGCTTCCATTTAACAGGATTATAGGAGTATTTTTAACTTCCTGCTCTCACTCCAGTGCTCCTGATGGATGCTTGGAGTGCAGGGAGCTTGCTGGTTGTTGATGTCAAAGTGAATGTGCTGCGGTGACGCAGATTTTCTCGAGGAAAAGCGTGCTTTTCCGAGTGGCACATTGGAGGCTGCAGAGTCCTCGCCCTAGCCATGACAATGGCTTTGGGGCTGGAGGGAAGAGGCACAGAAAGCAGCAGGGCTGAGTTTGTGCCGGGGCAGTGGCTGGGAGGAGGGGGCAGAGCTGTGTGCGCTCCTGGCATGGGGATGGTGTCTGAGCCAGCCTGGGGCATTGATGTTCAGAGCTGCTGCTGGGCACGGGCAGCTCGGGGTGACTTGAGTGTCACAGCGTGTCCCCTGCTCAGGTTGAGCTGCCTCTCCTCCTGCCCTGTGTGCCCTCCAGCTCTGGCACACAGCTTTCCCAGGCTCTGGCCCCCTGCGATGCTTTCTGGGGAAAAAAAGCCCTGCATTTTGTCTTATGCAAGGAGGGGGCAATTTTATCGGACCATTAGTGAGCATGTCCTTGGCTCCCCCGGGTCTTTTTGCAACAACCAGTGTAACAATGTCCTGTGTGACATATCCTCGGTATTTATGTCAAAAATACAGACATAATAATTTAATCCCACTTTGTCAAGCTTTTTGTTTTAATCTTTCTTTGCATTGAATCATGTTTCTCCTTGTTATTTGTATTTTATGAAAACTTCATGCTCTGATGACCACATCAGACTGTGCTCAGGGACCACAGTTTAAACTTTTGCTATTCTGCTCCTGATAGCTGTCATTAAAGGGAATTAAATCCTTTAGTTTTCACCTATGTTGAAAAAAAGGAATGTTATTCCCAGCTTCCATTCAGTTATCAGCCTGAAGAAAAGAAGAAAAAAATCCACAGAATCCCTGATGAAAAGGAGAAATAAGGTGAGTTAGAAACGGTGGATGTGAGGGACACAAAGCAGGAAAACTGGGATGGGATCTGAGCTTCCCAGTCCTGAGGATGAAGACAGGCAGCTTGTTAGCTTTTGAGTCAGAGCAGGGTAGGCTCCAGTATCTTTTCATGTAAAAGGAAAAAACGGGCAGATGTACACCTTTCATGTGGTTTTTGGAATATTGGCAATAGTGACGGGATGCAGTGGCAGGGGCTGAGAAGGAATGGGTATTTCTAGAAGTCCATCCAACTCCTTAGGATGGGGTGGTGCATCTACTCAGCTGCTCACTCTTGTGTGCTTGTTGAAGGAACTTGTGTGTACTGTTTCTAGAGCTTGCAAACACGCCTGAATTGGGGATCCAGAAAGAAGCTGAAGTATAACCTTCAGCACCTGGGTGCATTTCACCCTCCTAGCTGCTCCTTTGGCTGATGGGAAGGTCCAGCGTGATTTAGAGTGAGGATGACAGAAGGAGGGCAGGAATTTGAACTTGGTTCCTTGCTTTAAAGTGCCATTTGTATTCCAGCTTCTCTTTCACCCCATGTTCAGTACTTCTGAAATTGTGACTGTGGAATTAGTTATCCCAGCACCTCTGGAGACACCTTGGAGGTGATGTAACACCTGCTTTTCTCTCCGTTGCCTTTCCTTATGTAGTCCACATCTCATCTAGTTTGCTTCCTCCTCTGGGTAAAACAGCAGTAAAAGTGCAGTACTTGCTAAAACTGTTCCAGTTTTCCTTCAGTCTGGTCCCAGGAGCTTTGTGGTGGCAGAGGCCACCCTTGGTTGCAGTGGCTGTGTTGGGCAGAGCCAGGCATGCCCAGGAACAGGCTGGATGTGTTGGATCATCTGTGTCAGATTATTGCATTTTTAAAGGGTTGGGCCTTGCCTCTCCTGTCAGCAGGTGCCACGCCTGACTAAACTCCTGAAGCTTCCAGAGGTGACACAGCATTGCTGCTCCTTGGGCTACACACTTACTCCAGGTTCAATCTGAGGCTCCTTGAAGATCTGAATTCTCCAGTTAGTCCAGCTTGGGGAAGGACTTCTAACCTGATACTTCCCATAATGTTAAAAACCTAAAAGCCCTTGTTCATTAGCATTGACAAGAGTTGAACTCAGTTCTTTGTTTCTTGCTTCAGACAGTTCAGGCTGGGGCCAGTTTTAGCTGGGGGATCCTGTGGCTTTTCTGCAGTAAGAGATGATGTTTTCCTGGATGCAGAGCTGATACACAGGCAGTGCTGGTGGCTGCTTTCTCCTGGCGGATGGGTTTAGTGAAGTGTGCAGCCCTGCTGGGATTTAACCCCCTTGGAAGGGGCAGTTCTGTAGCTGTGACTCTCCACCAGGGCTGGATCACCGGGTGCATGTCCCTGTTCCGAGTGTGACACTAATGAACCAGTGGGCTGGGGTTTCTCCCTTTCATTATGCATTATACTGAGATTTTCCTAGTCACAGGGCTATTGAATAGTCAAGGATTTCTCAACATTTTTCCCCCCAGGGTTTATAAGTTAGTGCTCCAAACCTTTTTCAGGACTGGAATGTGGCAGATGAGATTTCAGCCCTTAAGGAGTATTTTAACCGTGCAAACAGGCTTGACTCTGGCCACTTGTTTTCATTTGTGTATTTCAGAAGGCTTTGTCCTTTTAAAAGTGAAACATAACAAGATATCACACAAACCTTTTTCAGAAATAATAAATACAATATTTCCAAGCCTTTTCAGTCTGCTGTTCTCTGTGCATTTGTTCTTATTGATGCTTTAGTGGAATAGCTTTGCTTGCTGTATGAGATAAATGTCATTTGTAAATGTGCATTGTATCTCTTTGCAGTGTCACTGTGCTGGCTTCTGTTTTGGGAGTAAATGTGCTGGGCCAGTGCATGCCGTGCTTTTTAAAAAAAATTATTAACATAAAACATCCAACTATTTTAAGTGCATAGGCCGTACAGTGGTTTTGTGAAAATCTGTTTGAGATGTGCTAGGAGAAAGCTTTAGACAACCCATAGTCCATGCAATTGAGAGTCAAAAGGTAAATGAAAAGAGCTCTTAACTACTTGCTACTTTTTTTTTCATGCTTTCTGAGCAAATCTCATAATTTGGAGTGATGGGAAGAGGGACCAGGACCAGATTTTCCTGTTTTCCTTTAGTAGAACTTTGAATGGAATCAAACACCCAGCAAACCCCTTGCTACAGGTGAAATAAGAGTGGGTTTTGACCTTAGGCATGTGTCCTACCAAATTTGATACCAGGTGTTGGATGCTCAGGCACTCTCCTGAGGATAAAGGCAGTGACTCCTC